AGGAAAAAGCTGCATTCCAGATGAGGTTTGAAATGTAGTGGGACAAAATGCGATTTGTCGACTGTTTATGGACGGATACGGGATCTCCTGCAGCCCTTCCTTAATTGATGTTATTGAGTGGTATTACTAGGACTGAGTAACATTATTTTAGAATCTCTGTACCCAATTCCTTATATAGAAGTTCCAAGCGGTTTAGGGAATCATAGCCTTAGCATAATCGCCCATCAATCACGAATATGAGTAGAGCTTGACTGCTCCGACTATCAATACATCTATTTCACCAATTATCCTAATGAAAAAATAGAGGTAAGGAAGAGGGCGCTAATCTGCAACAAACACCGACATTCGCGCAAGAGCACTATCGAAATGGATGAATGTAGGGGTTCTCTACCAGCAGGAGCCATGTGAACAAAATTAATACGGTTAAGCGCTTTAGAGCATAAACATGCACTTGTGTCCTCTCTGTTAACAATGAAAGCCCAAAAGACCTTGAATTCAAGGTCTTTGCAAATTAAACAGCATAAATGAATTAAAAGAGTCCAAGTATATATAAATCATATAAAAATCTCGATAGCAGGGGGAGGGGGAGGGAGGAAAGCGTGTAGAAGAAATTCTATGTAACAACTTGATAATATCTTGCCTCTCAAGGATTCAAGATGGTATGTATCTTCCTTAATGCAAAATGTGCAAACAAATTAATGCAGAAGATAGAGGAAAATGGACACATCAAGGAAAAAGTACAAATTTATAATACATAAAAATCTGGATACTGAATAGAAAAACTCTTTAGTAGAAAAAGTAACTTGAGTGACTTTGATTAGGTCTACCTGCAAGATATAATCTACAAGTTTCACGATTAATTTGTTTGGAAGATTTCAAGTAATATTAATGTGCAATCTCATCATTCCATTAAGGAAAGACAATGGACTATAGGCGCTCAAAGGTCTGTTTATTGATTAAATATTATAAAAAGCCAATGAATACAGATCAATTTAAGGCAAATTCTACTTTTTTGCGATTTTTTCAGGAAATAAAGAGCAGATTGCTGAAGCAGCGATTTCCTTTCTCCAGAGATAAAATCCCACAGAAGACTCAACATGTTCCGACTTGCCGTGTAAGAA